CCTCAACAATTATAAAACAAGAGATTCCTCGAAATCCAACTTTTCTTCGCATTGACTCAGCTTGTTTTTGCCGGTGTAGCAGTGGTTGCAGAAATCCAGATGGTCTTCATTCCAGTCCAGGGCCTCTTCTATAAGGTAGAATACAGGTCCACAATGGGCAAAGGGACATCGAAACTTAGTAAACCGATCGGAGCAAAATATGTCGTTGAATCCTGAAAAGAATAGGCAAACATATATGCAAATGTACATATGCCCACATGTATACACAAGTGGGCAAACAGACGGACGACCGGACAGACATACAGATGGATAGATGAAAGAAATAAGTATGTGGAATAGGAAGGGATGACTGCAAACAAGCCAGAAGGAGGAGCTGATTCCCGCTGAGGCACTCCCTCGGAAAGTGTTGAGTGGAGCTCGAAGGCTTAGCCGACCTCGGAAAAAAATGGGAAAATATGAGCTGTATCGGTCTCCAGAGGGACCTCATTTAAGGCAGGATTGTTACATCCCCTTGGCAATGTGGCTGTGTTAATGCAAGAATCAATTTTTTGTTGGGCCCCATTAGACGAGGCCTTAATTTTAGTCTTGACGATAACAAGCGACAGGATGTAGTGTGAGTCTAGGTTGGCTGCTTCTGCCTGGGTACATACATATTCATGTATGGGGAGGTCACGGCGAACCAGGTAGGTTTGTTGGCATGGCCAAGTATGTACATATTATAAGCGTCGACATAATCGCTCCACTCTGTTGGGCATGTGGACACCGCCTCATCAAAACCCAACCAAGCCTTTTGCGACTTCCGGGCCAACGGCTTCTCTAGGCGGACAGATGTAGCAAGGGCTAAAAAAAGTAGGAGGGGTTTTTGCAGGGATGGCGTGATAGTGATAGTGTGTCCTAACATCTATAGGCTATGATCAAGAAGTCTTGCAACTAAATGAAATAGACAAAGTCCCATGATTGCGTGTACAAGTGCTTTTTTTCGCCCCAATGCACCTCAAACCGTCAATGCTGAATCCGGCCAGATGAGAGTCCACTTGTAATTGATACATTGTGCCTGGGTGCAAAAGGCCGGAGGTGGAGAGCAAGAATCCGACAAATCAGTTTGGATTTCTCGGAAGTTGTGGGCTCAGCCACCGGTGCTTCGGCATGTAACTAAGGCCCCGACTACGACTGAATGGGAATCCAGTGGGCAGCTATACCTCGTGTTATCTGCCATAAGCGTGTTCTACCGTTTATAAATTGCAATTCTAGCCTACTGGCTGCGGAGATGACTGAATAATAATGATGTGAAAATGAATAATAGCATTCGATCGGCGTTAGCTTGTTGTCAAGATGAACCCACAAGTGGTGAAAGAAAAGGTTCGATTTTATGTTAAACTCCAGTGCATACCTCACCTCAAAGCGCCGTTCTCATCAAGATTGGATTGCAGTCTCAATTTCATCTTGGCTTAAAATCACTGCCTACCAGACTCGAACTATGTCCGCTAGTTCACCCGTACTTCCATAATTCGAATCCTGATGGGCCTGCTGATAGGGCGATAAAAATGTTTTGTCCTGATCTTTAATTTAGCTACATCTGAATGATCCTCTATGAAAAAGTGTTCGGAAATACACTTAAAAGGTGAAATATTTTCTTGGTTCCATAGTAAGCAGCTCAATTATCAGGCGTCAGATCACCAAAGCGATCTACGAAGACCATCATTTGACCGATAGAATTACACCAGCAATTTCAGAGTTAACCTTTGGAGTTTTTGTTATGCCTGTTCTAGGTCGAAATTATTCATCATTATCTTAAATACTGGATGTCAAGCGGTATTAAATTTTTTCACCATAAAATGAATGGACCTCCTGATGGACTGGAATTCCGCCTAGTCCTGATTCCAAAAAGTATTTTTATCCCGGTTTCGAGTTTTGCTGGGAGTGCTATACGACCAAGGGTGACTAAATCCTTTATAAAAAGTATATTGATAATCTCGAAATCATAATTAATTCACATACAAGTAGCGTTATCGACTGTAATATCTGTTTTATCGACAATCCTACGATAAAATGTGATATGGGCATGGCCTAGCTTGCTTGGGAACTTACTTCTGCTCTCTTACCGACTGAAACTTGCAAAAGTGTAGTATCTCAAAAGTATACACCTCATTATCCG